AAAAAAAAAAAAAAAAAGGAGAGAGGAAAGAAAAAGGAAAAAGGGAAAAGGAAAAAAATTCAACATTGAAAAGAGAGAAAGAGAGAGGGGGAAAAAGAGTACATGCTGCGCATCCTGTTCCATTTCTTTTTCCCTTTTATTTCATTTTATGGTTTTTCTTTATAACTTTTTTTTTTTATTTCTCTTTGCTTTTTTTCGTTCGCTCCTTCGGGGCTCCTGTCAATGATTCTCTCCGTTCCGTTAGACAGAATTCCTCGAGCCGGACGATCCTGTAGCACCTCGCACGAGAAACCTCAGGTGGGTAATCCACGGTTTTCTTGAAAAAGCGATCGTCCTCAGGCGAAAATCATAAACGGAAGTAAGAGTTTTCCTCTCAGCAAGCCAAGATCATACTCACGGACGGGGAACGGATCGATAAACCGCTGAACCTAAATGCCCGCACGACATACCTTAGAGATAAAGCGAAGATTTCCGTCTAGACTGGCGACCGACAATCATCTGCGAAGGGCCCAACGGCTTTTTTCCTCCTTTTCATCATAAGCTCCGCAGTAAGAAATAAGTATCTTCATTGTTCGGTACCGAGCTCCCCCGTCCCTTCGATCGTTCCTATAGTGCCGGCCACATGTGAGAACGCGCGGGATCACCACGATTTAAAAAATGAACAAGAAAAAGAAAAGGTGAAGAAAAACAGAAGAAGAGAGGATAGCAGAGTGACCCGCGATATCATCATCATCATACACTTGACCATAGATTGGCGTAAAAAAAATTAGAGAGAGATAGATCTTTCGTGAGCAATTTGTGATGATGAAGCCTCATTTGGCTAGTCTTTCAACAAATGATTTCTGGGGTGTCGATTTTGGGTAAAAAGCCACTATCCTACTTCGGGGATGTTCTCCTTTGCAAAACGACAAGAAATATGCGAAAGCAAGATTCACTTTGAGCAGAGCCAGTCATTACTAGGCCAAGGATCAGGACCTCATTAATCCCAATAATCAACCAGTGGTAGCAGTGCCAGGCCGATCTGCATAGTACTTTGTCACGAGAAAAACGTCAGGAGATGGTTGCCAGCCAATGAATTGCTGTAAAGTGATTTCAATTTATTTTCTGTTACATGGGCTGAGCATCGACTGAAGGGGAGGGTTCGTCCTATCATACGAAGTAGCAGCGACATGGTTCGGGGCTTGGGTTCGTCTAGCACTATTAGATAACTTACTTGACCACGGTCCACTTCGAGCATGAGGGTGAGGAGCTAGGACCCCACGGGGCCCGCAGCGGTCCACTCCGGGCCGGCAACCTAAGTAAGCAATGCAAATCTTAGAAACGAGACCAAAAGGACAAAAGGAGAGGAGTGGAGAGCGTACCTACGAATTAGTATCATAGGGGAGAAAGTTTAAGATGAGGAATAAGACAGAAATTAGCCGATTCCGAGTTTAGCGCATTGATTCATTAATTAATTGTCATCTATGTGAAAAAGGTTAGGAGTAGTAGGTACTAGTACTAGTTAACTCAAGATATGCAGATAATGATCGGACGTTGTTATTCGGGGGTTAGCAGTAGAATTGACCCTAATCATTACAGTTTAGCTCCTTGCGACTTTTAGGTTCAACCCCCCCCCCAGTATTCCTGACTCGCCATCAGTACGGAGTAGACACCTATTGACTGCCGCAACGCCCGGACGGTACGTTCTTGGATGGTCCTGCATTACACATCGGTCTGACTGGTTAGTTGATTTGCTGCCGGGAAGTCGTTGACGGGTGATTGCGGTACAAGGGTACATTTAGTTATACGGCTGTAGGTGCAACCTGGGTGTACTATGCAGGATGCGGCGTCCATTGATGCATTGTACAGCCTTACCAGGGCTGACCCCTTCGAAGGAGATCGCCTTTGTACATAATGTACTCCGTACTAACCAGAACATATTAAGGCCCTGTCTTAGTTACCTACCCTAAGTAGTTGAGAGTACGGGACGGGGAGCGCGGAAAACGTGATCGGTGCAGCAACTAATTTTTCATCTCCAATCCATCCGCCCCGCTTGTTCGGATAACCACGAGGGCTGTTAAGACTAAGTTATTGTATGTAATACTGTGTCAGAATCACAGTGTAGACCTTTATTTAATTTTTTTATGGCTCTTTTTCATTCTCGGATCAACTCTCTTGCTACGCGCCTTTGTCATCGAATAATAGGCAATGATCGTAGAGATAGAGGAAAATGATGCCCGCGTTCCAGAGTGGACCTAATTCTCAACGAACTAAAGATGGGAGAGGGGGGGTGAACAAAATCACATAATAGAGGTTGGAGGAAGAATTCATGGTTTGAGTCACTGTCCGCGAATTAACGACGTGACCACGGTATTCCAATCGGTCTGCCGCTTCTTGTCACTGAGAGGCTGGGGAAACCAGTGGCCAACAGAAAATCACTACCCTATGCAGGAAAGAGTTAGCATGGGAAGTTGAGACCATGGGTTGAGGTCAACACCATTGCTTCTAGTGTAAGCAAAAAGATTGCCCCTCCTTGTCTTTTTGTAATTCTTTCCCTCCTTTCCCTCCTTTTATTTTATTTTTATAATTTTATTTTCGACATGTTCAAGGACGTTTAGATCAGTCAAGAAATCAACTGGGATGGGGTTTGAAATAGATAATAAATTGGAATTTTGTAACTAAAAGCAAACTATTGCTAGTGGATCAATAACAATCCGGTTGAGAATGATTGAAACTGGAACGAAGGGCCGAGTGGTGCGACGTCAGACGCCGAACAAGCCCTAATCCGAGAAATGGGGTCGTGATAGCCTTACCATTGTATGAGTGCCAATAATAGGCATCTGTCAGGTACGGAGGGGAGTGCAGATATCCGATCGCTCGTTCTGATATCAGCAGTGGACGTGTCATGTCAAGGTACCCCGAAATATGTACAAATGTACTTCAAGGTACACTACTCCAGTGTACCATACATCTACCATTGTATAGTGGTACATGGTACGTGAGGCCTTCCACGCAGGACCAGTGATATACGCCCACAAGGCCCTTGTCGGAAGATGTCCGAGCTCAGATTGGCATAGGCAAATCCGAGAGAGTATGACATCAGTAGAGCTGAAAACTGATCCGATCAGACCAAGTATCGTATCGAAAGCCTAGGCAATATCCACTTCGATAGTGTAGTACGAGCAACTGCCAGATCTGAATGTTGTGGGGATAGAGGTCGTTTCTCTTGGACCCCTATGTATGTAGAGAAAGTAGGTAGTGTTATGAATCGCACTTCGTAATTAAAACCAGGATATATTGAAGCTAAGCAATCAGATATCCAGCACCACGATTCCAACAAATTAGTATCTATCAGCCTTTGGGAACATTCTTTGTCTGTCACCATTACAACTCATTGACCGCAGACAGTGGCTGTCATGTGGCTGCCTCGAAGGATCCGCGATACCCATGCCAAAAAAAAAAAAAAAAAAAAAAAAAAAAAAACCAAAAAAGAACACAAAAAAAAAAAAAAAAAAAAAAAAAAAAAAAAAAAAAAAAAAAAAAAAAGCCATGCCAAAAAAAAAAAAAAGAAAAGAAAAAATTATACAAGGGAAGTCTAGAGAACATATGAAAAAGAGATAGGAAAAAAGAAAGAAAAACGAAAAAAAGTAAAGATCGAGTAAGAAAAAAGGTCCCGAGTACTCAGCCGTCACCGACAGTTAGAACTATGAGGGCCACCAGAAGGAAGGAAGGAAGAGACGTATGCAACCTCCACTTCCTCGCATGCCACAGACAGTGTGGTGGTGAAAACACGCATCTACAGTCATCTGACAAGCAGATTTTCACTCAAATTCTTCATCTAAGACAAACAGTAGCACCTTATGGAATAACGAGTTCTCGGACATAGTAGCAACTTGGTCAATCCGCTGAGGCTGTGCATTAGTTTGCATTGGAGAACATCAGATCTCAGTGCAAAAGCCGAGTCATGCTACCAATCACGAGTGCCTATCAGGAACAATATTTGCTCAGACACGACCCTCATTGCAGTCTTTTGTATCTTCGCTGATCATAATTGCCTGTGTATATGTCTCCACGCGGCCACTACGGTTCTAATTTGACCTTGGTTGATCTTTTTCTTTTTCCTTTTTTTTTACCTCCTCTTTTTCTTAATACCTCGACTATGATTATTAATGTTAATATTATTTTTTCGACGAACCTCCTCTGCCCCTCACCACCAGGCCAGGACTCAAGGCGTTTAGTAGTGCACCATCCAGGTATAAAACTAACATCTTAATCATCCCGAATTGATGTTACTTTACTCCCGAACGCAGCCCTGTGTGACATACAATTCAATGAGTGCATGAATCAAGGCTCGAAGGGGGGAGGGAATAACCCCAAAGAAGTATAGTCCAGCGAGCTGGGAGATAGACAAATACAACGTCGTAGAGTGACCGAGCTTTAAATTCCCGCGCAGACCGCTTTTCCAAGAAACAAAAGAAAAACTGTCGCTGACAATTAATTATAGACAGGGTATCTCTGTTAAGTATCATACAAATGGATGTACATGTAGGTACTACTCCGTATACTCCGAGGAAATAAGTCCCAGCGTGCATTATCAATTCTGACAAATAAGTGCCATGATTGGTGGTGTCCGCAATAAATCTCTGCAATTTTTCTCCTCCCCCTCCCAATTTCATTTTTTTCCCCTATTGTTATTACTACTGTTTATTATATTTATTATTATTATTATTCAACTGATTTGGATTTTCCTAGTGAGATTTTCTACGAGTTTGGGTTGGTAGTATCCATGGATCTGTCCAGCGGAACCGGCAGAAGTAACATGGGGACTTGGAACCTAAAAAGTTCAAGGGAACTGGTAAGAGGCTTTCTTACGCGATCATTGTATGTACTAGTATGTGCTCCCATATAAAGTCAAGTGCCGAGTGCAACCCGCGAGAATGGAAGGGGAGAAAGAGACATTACCATAAATGGATGGAAATCCAGAAATGCAAAGCTAAGACCTGACCATTACTTCTGCAAGTGGACAGGAATCTGTCGGATACGTATCATGTAAGACAAGAAAGGTTGGGTATGGAAATACGACTACCCCTCCTGCGCCGTGACCCGTCAGTACCGGTAGTAATATACTCGGTCGAATCAGAGAACTGGAAAAAATAATGAGTAGTAGGACAGAAAGGGGATGCATAATGCGCCCGTGAGCAGAACAACCCCGGACCCTGCACCTGCAGACACATGATTAGTCGCAGAGATATACACTGACACTCGGGCCTACGACGACTAATAAATCCCATCAGTCTTCATGGCGGCACTTCACTGCCGATTCGTCGTCGACGGGGTTTCATATACTTCAGCTTGGGAGCTGGCCATGGTTACGGCCAGATTGCAACCCCTTCCTTCTTTTCTTCATCTCTGTGGGGAAGAATGGAATTACCTGGACCATGCCCGTTTCAGACAAACACAAGTTACAACCAACCAACAGGGTCATAATACTCGATCCCGGGAAGTGCCTCTGGAAAGTATGTACCCAAGCTGTATAAGGGTGGGTCACCTTCACCCAGCTAAGGTAGTAGCAGCAATATATCGGTCAATGCTCCAGCTACGCAATCAGGTGACATCATATGTTCTAATTGATCCCAAAGGGGAATCTCCCCCAGAGTGAGTCCTCAAGCTCCATCGCATGTGTAATAATGTTCTTTTCACTTGCACGCGATGATCGCGTAAACCAGAGGACAGTGCTACACTCGGATCCATGGAAGCAAAAGCACCGGACGGAGCTTTCTTAACTCTGTCAATCGTTCTAATTTTGTTGCTACTAACTTTTTTTAGTAGTCCTAGGCCATAAGTTCTAGACCAACCGTCGGGAGAAAAGCATGTAAGTGGTCGCTTTCAACGAGAACGGAGAAAATAAAAAAGTACAAAATGGTAAAAGGAGAAAATCGTTCGTACTGCGGAACCCAAAACCCTAGTCCGGATTCTCAGCGTCAACTTTCTGCCTCTCCTCGTCCCCTTAAACAGGATCGCCCAAAAACGACCGTGCATCACCACGAGTAGCAGTGTCGAACATACTATCTCATGATTCAGTCATCTATCCCAAACGAGTGATCGTGCAAAACCAGGCGGTAGTCGGCAGAGCGCTGCCCGTGCGCGAACCATCCTCCCCCAATCAAACGTTCTATGGCATCTCGCCGAAAGCTGTCCCAAGGGCTGGGCCTTTTGGACATGTATACTTAGCGAAACACTTCTAATACAACCCGTTTATCTCTCGTGACGATTCGCCACCAAGGTCTCCGCTCTTACGCGGTCTAAAGAACCTTGATTGATTAAAGCTGTTTACCGCTTAACAATGGTCACTGTAGTCGCCAGATTAGCTGGAAAGCTCCTTATGATGTTCAGGGGTCAGGGGTTTACGGACCAATATCCTCATCTGCAAGCTCGTGCGTAAGACCCACACGCTGCGGTTGATGCTTAACGGAGCGGCCATAGACAATAGCCTGTTTGAACTGGTCCTTAATCGTCCGGTGAATCGCGTTACACTGATCACGAGTCAGTAAGCCGCCTTGTGACGGGATGTGATAGGAAAGAGGGAACATACGAAATCTTCAACAGTGCATGCGTTGGCTCTCAGCACAACAGGTGCAGTGTAGTCGGGTGCCTTTCCCTTAGGCTTAGTGTAGACTCGCCTGAGGTTGAGCTTATCCCACATCATCTCCAGCAGTTCATCAACGTTCCAGCCGTGCTCGGAACTAATGGGACAGGCGTTGGGAATCCGGTAAAGCAGGTCCAGCTCTTCGATTGTGATAGAATCAATCTTGTTCAACGCATATACGACAGGGATGTAAGCCCGACTCTTTGCCTCGAGAACATCGATAATGTCGTCAACTGTGGCATCGCATCTGATTGAAATATCTGCAGAAGAGATCCTGTACTCGCCCAAGACAGCTTTAATTTCCTGGAAGCCGCATCAAAAAGTGTATGTCAGCTGTGGTGTATTTCAACCCTTGGACATGACGGGAACTCACGTCATGATCAATATGCGTCAATGGGACTGTGCTAGTAATCGCAATGCCACCCTTATCCTTTTTCTTGAAGACGATGTTAGGGGGTTGCTTGTTGATTCTGATTCCAAAACCTTCCAATTCATTCTCAATGACTTTTTTATCGACAAGTGGCTTGTTGACGTCGAGCACAATGAAAATGAGGTGGCAAGTCTTCGCCACAGCAATAACCTGTCGACCACGACCCTTGCCGTCTTTGGCACCCTGGATAATACCGGGAAGATCGAGAATCTGAATCTTAGCACCGTTGTATAGCACCTGTCCAGGCACGGTTGTCAGGGTTGTGAACTCGTAGGCCGCAGCTGTAACAAAGGTAAAGGAAATCATCAGCACCTATCAAGACTGTGCCAGAATACACCCAAACATACCTTCAGAGTGTTGGCCTGTCAATCTGCTCATCAAGGTACTCTTTCCGACGGAAGGAAAACCAATGAAACCACTAGTCCGAGTCAGTATCAACGTCGTCCTAGCAAAAGTCTTCTCCAATACATACACACTAGCGACGCCGGTACGAGCAACATCGAAACCAGCTATATTTCACCAAATTAACAAAATGGCTCATGTCAATAGGGTACTATCCATAAGCACTTACCTCCACCTCCGCCGCCACCACCGCCGGTTGGAGTCAAAAGTTCACGCTTTAGCTTCGCAAGCTTAGCCTTCAACTGTCCTACACAGCCCGTCAGTCACACTAGTCTGACACCACCTAGCACCTGCATCTGCGCATACCAATATGAAAGGCCGTCGCCTTATTCTTCTGCGTCCGTGCCATCTGAGATATCGGTCAGTCCGCCATGCTGGTGGGCAAATATCGCAATATAAATTTCGACACGAACCTCATCTTCGATTTGCTTGATCTACAGTACGCATGGCAGTCAGCATAATAATTCTGTCTTTATCGGAAGAACAGTGCTAATAAGTTTTTTTTTTCTTCTTTAAAAAAAAAGACTATGGGCGGGATCCAACCTTCTCAACTGTGGTCGACATTTTGGCGGTTTTATACGAGTTTTACCCCTCGCACAAGGCACAATATATTCAGATACAATAAGAAATAAGTCACAAAATTCCGTGCTCCTATACACGTTCTAGCTTCTATCTCACACCGGCCGCGCTGTGGTGAAGCCCCAAGATGATCGTATCTCGTTTTGCACTGGTGTTTCGCAGAATCTCAATCTTTGAAATTGTGTCCGCCACTTTATTCGCCCGTTAGTCGGGCGGAGAAGAACGAGAGCGATCACTGATCACATGGCGGGGATTGTGGCCTCAGGTGTAAATGAGGCAGCAACGCTTATCCTCGGGTGGCAAGCGCGTTATCGGACATATCCCTTCCATAGCTTTGGATATACAATTGTCTCTCATTGTTAAGCTATACCTGGACATTGAAACATACTTATCTCTACCGACTCTTAACATTGACTATACTAGCATACATCATTGATTACTATCACTACTAGAAGCCCCCTTGACTACCAATCATCAAAACACCCATTCTACCCAAATCATACAGACCAAAAACACCGCACCTCAAATACAACAACGCCAACCCCACCAAAAACAAACACAACTAAAATAAAGACCAAAAGGAACAGAAACAAAGAATTGGAAGAATGCCCTACCTCCAACCAGACCCAGACCCCGAAATCACCAACCAACCAAGCAACGCCTTTGAACAACTAGTCCAGGACCTAAGTGCAGCCCTGGGTCCGAGCTCGGGTCTGGACTCCGACGATGTCGACCCGCTCAACATCCAGCGTCTCATGGACCGGTATACATCCAACCCGGAAGAATGGCAGCAGTTCGCCCTGTCCGATTTCAGCAAGTCCTACACGAGGAATCTGATCGACGAAGGCAACGGCAAAAGTAATCTGGTGAGTCTTGGTTTGCATCCTTCCTCAGGCGGTCTTACATATATCTGTCACATGCAAGTATATATGCATGCATAGACTCCACTCACGTGCTAATACGTATCTGATCTGGGAAGCTTATCCTAGTATGGAGTCCTGGGAAAGGAAGCGCTATTCATGATCATGCGAATGCGCATTGTGTTATGAAGGTATTCATTCATTTATCCTCTCTTTCATGTTTCTCCGCATGTTGTTTTCTCCAAGGGAAGGATGAAGTGTATGTTAGGCTAATCTAAGCGTATTAGGTCTTGAAAGGGTCTCTGCAGGAGACATTGTACTCATGGCCCGATCAAAGTAAACTCGAGCATGGACAGATCTCTCCGCCGCAGATCAGGAGGGAAACTACGTACGGCGAGAACCAGGTTACGTATATGTCGGACAAGCTAGGTCTCCATAAGATATCCAACCCCGATCTGGACAATGTTGCTGTGTCCTTGCATCTTTATACGCCGCCTAATGCTGCGACGTACGGCTTTAGTGTTTTCGATGAGAGAACGGGGAAGGCGTTTCATATCAAACAGTCGAATTTCTACTCTATCCGAGGGAAGAGATGTTTGGCTTTGCGGAGGTAGTAGCCTGCAGTAGCATTGTGGTTTCGGCCTATTATTCCTACTCTTATTGTAGTATAGCCTTATGTAAATAGTCGGTTAACATTTTCTTCTTTCCGGTGTCTTATGCTTGTACTTTTCAGGGTGCTAGTTGTAGGGTACGTGACTTAGTAAATTAGGCTTTTATTCAGACCTACATAGTCTTGGTAGGCTGCATAGTTGACTGCTACCAGCCAACATATCCTGACTTACCCAAAAAAGGCATGAAGTGAACAAGTTAATCTTCATGCATGCTGCACAAGAGGACGATGCATATGCGTAACATACTGTACAATATGAATATACAGTGAAGGTAGCGATGAAAACAGAGATGAAATATGAGGAGAGGAAACAAAGTGAGACCGAACGCGCATCAACTTCTTTCCTTCATTATGAATACCTACGCCTGCGTTCCCTTGCTGCTCTCTGAATCCGCTCCAGAAGTAGATCTGGGTTCTCTAAAACTTCAGAATGATGCCGCTGAAGTTCCTCGAGGCGTATTGACGGGTTCTGTGAAGTACCAGTATAAGTATGCCACTCGAAGGAGATGTAAAAACACATCAACCGTGACACCCACCCATTCTTCCTGATTTGGCACGCCTTCGGCAATGGGTAACTGCCCCGAGGTGGACCCCTCGCCTAGGACATTGGAAGAAGGCGGTGGTCTCCTAATTGGGGCTGGGGTAACGGGAAGACTGGGCCGCTCTTGCTCGCTAGGGAAGTCTGTTAAACGCATACTGGACTCTGCGCCAGCAGTTTGCTGGTTTGCAGGGCCGCCCCAACCACCGATAACTTGGACTTTTGCCCTTTTGGGTGGTGCGATGGATTGAATGTATCTCTGTATTTCTGGAACGTCATCCCATGCATTTGACCTGGAGTAGCTGTCCCATGACCCGGATGGTTTTTCGGCGATCCAAGATGCCGTGTATCCCACGGATGAAGTGGGAGTTTCTTTTGGAAAGACTGGGGGGAGTATGGAGCTAGGCAAAGAAACCGATCCCTGATCATCATCTAGGAAAACTCGGGTCGGCTTGGGGGCCTGATTCTCCCAAGGGAAGATCTGGCTAAGTTTCTCTGGTTCCGGTTTGGTGCTAGGTACTTCATAGTACATATTCTTCGGAGCTTCGGGGTAAAAGGGAGGGGGCTTGAAAAGCTCTTTGTCCTCTGACATATTATATGTCTTTGACTCCAAAGCAATTCCTTCAGGCTTTGTATTGAGAGGTGGCGGTTCCCTAAGTAGAGTAAGCTTCGGAGATTATCCATGCGTTGTTTATGTAAACTAACTTACCGAGCTGGGTCCCACTGCATCCTGGGGGGTTCAAATGCCTGGGGCTCAGGGCTTGGGGGAGGTTTATGCGAGTGTTGCGGGTGTTCACCCACTTTAGGCAGGGGTTCCTCTGTTTGCTGGTAGACTTCAGAGTGCGCGGTGTCTGGAGGCGCTGAAGAAGCAATTGGTATGTTGACCTGCGTCGTTGGGGGTTGCTCGATATGGAGGCTAATTGGTGCTCCGTCAAAATGTGGTTGTATGTACGCTGAGACATGCTCTTCTCCATGGACATATTGTGGAACGGCACTCAGAACCGGTGCTTGCACAATCTTGTCGTCGTAGTGTTCCTTCTGGATAGGCTGCGCTGCCTCAGCAGGCGTCACTACAGGGCCAGGTGTATTTTTTGCCTCCTGAAAAGGCTGCACCTGAGGGGGCGCATCTGCACTCATCTCGTTACTCCTGGGCAGTGTCTGTGCGACAGGAGGATGCTCGAAGGATACCTCTGCATGCGTTTCCAACGGGCGCTCATAGGTAACTTCTGGTACCAGGTTTTGTGGAGTAGAGTGGACGGATTGCACAGGTAGCCGCACTGTTTCGGAATCTTCCCTATGGCTTTGAAAATCATGCTGTGGAGTGACAGTCGCATCGCTCCACTGGTTCCTCGATATCTAGGGAAGCCATCAGCTTCGCCGCATTCTAAAATAAGAACGGGAAAGAGAGGAAGCTTACAGTCGTGACAGGGCGGTAATGTCTGTCGTAAATAGCCCACCATCGTCCCAGCAGCTGGTTGTAGGGTGATTCAGCTGGGGACACCTGCCTTGACATATTCCACGGCTTCTGAGATCCAATGAAATGAACTAGATTGATTGTACTCTGGAAATGTTTGTAGGCGGGGATGTACTGGTAGTTTGCGCTGGGGGTGCAATTATACGTGAAACTTAGCCTATGCCAATTTCGAAAGTGCATGTTTAGCAACCCTTGGTCTGCGCCGTCAAAGCTAATGCCCCTCTCAGCAAGTGCTTTCAGAGCAAAATAATCCTGCAGATTGGGCCGAAGAACCATTACACCACTGTTGAAGATATCTGGCCAGCCCACATCGGGAGCTGCCGCGAAGTCTACCTCTAGGGTCAAGAGCTCATCAGGAGCCCTGACGGCCACAACATCACAATCGATGTACACTATACGCTTGAATTGTGTTTGCTTCCAAAGCTCAATCTTAGTGAATGTGGAGATGAGGTCCGGTCGCTCCATCAGCCAGAGATTCGCTGGAGTGTGGTTTGAGGTTAAGTGGACTGGTATGAGCTCGTCGTATACGGACTAAATAACAGCAGTCAACATGATTGCAGTGGAAGCCAGATGTATGAGCAAAGAAACAGAAGGCATACCTGAAGCTCCCGAATTGTGGCCGGTAGTAAGCTATCAGGCGTATAGAGGACAACCAGTCTGGCTTTCGTCCCATTGTCGCGTAAAGAATGGGCCAGTACGACAGCGCCTGGGGTCAATTAATTGATTAGACGGGCCATCATCATCGTCGAGGTACCATAGTTTTACCAGGAAGATAGTGATCACTCAACAGAAGCTGCGATGCACGTTAGTCGCGACATTTCTCCGGGCTGGGGAAAGGTACGAACATACCGTGCAATACACGGCACCCTCTTCACTAGCCATCCCGTTGATAATCGAGATTTCTACTTCAAAAGTAGAAGACTGGACGTAAACAAGTTGAAGCGACGAAAACAGGTTGGGGGTATTAATGTATGACCCCCCCAGAGTGAGGCAGGTGACGTTAGGGGCTCCTTAACCCCGCCCACCAAAATACGCCAACGAGAGCGAGCTTGTATGATGATGGATCCGACAACAGTGGATTTATGCAGGAACGGCATCCCGTCAGGACAGTTTACAATTGTTCCATTGCGATCAATGGGGAAAATGTATAAGGCATGAATTTGTAATCAAAGAGACATAGATGCTCAAGCTGTATATTGGACTACTGATCCAGGTACTGTACCTTGTACTTAAAATTGAAAGAAACCGGACGATGAGGGGGGAAAGCGGAGAAGCTCCAAGTGGAAGCTTGGAAGCAGAAAGTCCGGTCGAGAACCCGTGCCATGGGCGCTCAGATCCCGTATTTTGATTACTAGTATGCAGGGGTATCATTAAGTATGTCCGTCCATCAGCAAACTCTTAATCTTCCCATAATAATCCCCCGTTATCGCCCATCCTTATTTGTTACTGACTCCCTGGGCGCCGCCCAGTCATACAAAGAAGCACCATAAACGCAAACATAAACAGAGAGCAAACATCAAAGCCCGACATCGCAACCACTTAGGTAGTATCCCCGTTCCCAGTCAAGGGGCAAGGCGTTTTGTTTTCACTTTCGGACCGTTACGACCGCATCCGGGTAAACTCTCTGAATCGCAGCGCCGATGTCCTCCTGTTCACCTCCAGCGGCCCATGCGACAGCTTTGGTCAATGCAGC